CCCATGCCTCCCGCCTGTGCCAGGCCAAAAGGCCTCGCGTGAGGCTGCCGTGTGTGCCGCGTGGCTGCGGATGTCTCCTTGGCCTCTTTGAGCTGAGGAGAGCACTGCTGTTCTCTCTTCTTTGTAAGTGCAGGAGAACATTATTTTTCTTTTTTCCATCCTTCCTTCCTCGCTTTCTTCACTCTCTCTTTAATTTTTTTTGAGATGGAGTTTCTCATCACCTCAGCTAGAGTGCAATGGCGTGATCTCGGCTCACTGCAACTCCACCCAAATTCAAACAACTCTCCTGCCTCAGCCTCCCGAGTAGCTGGGATTACAGTGCCCGCCACCACACCTGACTCATTTTGTATTTTTAGTAGAGACAGGGTTTCACCATATTGGCCAGGCTGGTCTCGAACTCTGTACTCCGGTGACCCACCTGCCTCGGCTTCCCAAAGTGTTGGGATTACAGGCGTGAGCCACTGCGCTTGGCCTTCTTTTTAATTTTTTTTTTTTTTGCGAAGTGCTTTACTAGATATAATCTGCACGCTCATTGGAAGTGTTCAGTCCCACAGTGTTTAGTTTATTCAAAACCTGTGCAAGTGTCATCACAGTTTGTTTTTATTTTTATTCCTTTACTTTTTAGAAACAGGGTCTGCTCTGTCGCCCAGGGGCTGGAGTACAGTGGCACAGTCACAGCTCACTGCAGCCTCGAAATCCTGACCTCGAGCAGTCCTCCTGCCTCAGCCTCCCTGAGTGCTGGGATTACAGGTGTGAGCCCCATGCCTGGCCCTCAGTCAGTTGGAGAACATGTTCATTTCCCCACAGAGAAGGCCTGTACTCTGGGGGGTCGTACATGGCCTTCTGTGCCTGGCCTCTCTCACTGAGATGTCCTCAAGGTTTACCCACATGGAGGAGCCTGTGTCAGAGCCCCATTCCTGTTTATGGCTGCGTCCTACTCCACTGCAAGTGTGGACGTGTTGTGTTGATGCATTCTTCCGCCGGTGACACGTGGGTTCTTTCCACTTTTAAGGGCTGTTGTGAATTGTGCTGCTGGGGAACGTGGCGTACGAGGTCCCGCATGGACGGATGCTTTCATTCTTCTGGGGCAGATCCCTGGGAGTGGGATGGCTGGGTCAAGTGGGATTGATGTGTGGTGTTTCCAGGAACCTCCAGGCCGCCCCGCAGAGCAGCTGCCCCGCATCACCCTCCTGCCTGCCTGTGTTCCAGGGCCCCGGTTTCTCCGCATCCCCGCCCACACCGTGACCATCTGCCGTTCTGATTCTCCCATCCTGGTGGGTGTGGGGTGGTGGCTCATCGTGGCTCTCAGGTGCATTTTCCTGGTACTGAGTGCCGCTGGGCACCTTCTCCTGTGCGCGTTGCCTGTTCATCTGCTTTGGAGAGCTGTCTACCCCAGTCCGTGGCCCGTTTTTTTGTTTGTTTGTTTTTGAGACAGGGCTTCACTCCTGTTGCCCAGGCTGGGAGGTTGGAGTATAGTGGTGTGATCTCTGCTCACTGCAACCTCTGCCTCCTGCAATTCTCCTGCCTCAGCCTCCCGAGCTGGGATTACAGGTGCAGACCACCATACCTGGCTAATTTTTGTATTTTTTATAGAGACGGAGCTTCACTATCTTGCCCTTGCTGGTGTCAAACTCCTGGCCTCAAATGATCTGCCTGCCTCGGCCTCCCGAAGTGCTGGGATTACAGGCATGAGCCACCGTGCCCACCAGCCTTGGTGCATTTTTATTGGGTCGCTTGTCTTTGGCTGTGAGTTGAGAGCCCCCCTCCTTGGTGTGGCCCCGTCTCGAGTGTGTCGCTGTTTGCAGGCAGCTCCTCCAGCCCTTCCAGGGTGTCTGAGCCCCAAGCCGTCGTGCGCCACTTGTCTGCTTGTTCCTGGTGATGTGGAAGGTCGGCCACAAGGCCGCGTTTCAGTACAGCCGCTCTTCACTGTCGAGCTGTGTTGCGCGTGCGTCAAGGTTACGGAGCGTGGGGATTGTCAACCATTTTAGTAATTTACCTCCTAAGCAATGTCGTCCCAAAAAGGCACAGATCGCCAGCACGGTGGCTCATGCCTGTAATCCCAACACTTTGGGAGGCCAAGGTGGGAGGATCACTTCAGACCAGGAGTTTATTAGCAGGCTGGCAACATGGCAAGACCCTGTCTCTACAAAAAGTACAAACATCAGCCAGGTGTGCTGGCACACACCTGTGATCCCAGCTGCTTGGGAGGCTGAGGCAGGAGGGTTGCTTGAGCCCAGAAGGTGGAGGCTGCAGTGAACCGTGACTGCGCCACTGCGCTCCAGCCTAGGCAGCAGAGCCAGACACTGCCTCAAAAAACAGTGATCATTTTTTAAAAAGTGGGCACAACTGCCCGTAGGGGCGTCGGTGGGTGGCGTGCCTGAGCACCTTTCAGGGAGTGGCTCCAGATGGAAGGGCTCTCTGGGTCCCCCCAGCGTGGGTTTTGATGCGGAACCTGCCACAGGCATTTGTCACCCAACATTGCAGTGTGTGCTGCCGGCAGCTGTGGCCACAGGCTTTTCAGATGAGCCCCCAACCCTGCGAGGTGTGGGGAGCCCCCACTTTATTATTTATCTATCTATTTTTTGAGACATCCCTTGGGCCACCCAGCCCTGCCCCAGGCCCTGTCCTTCCTGGGTGGAGCTGGTGTGGGGAGGACACGGGAGTGTCGTAGGCTCTGCACTGCACAGGCCACCCTGTGGCCAGGCCTGTGGGGCAGGTGGGCTTTGATGACCTGGAGGTCAGAGCCTGCAGGGGTGGGTGGACCGGCCCCCAACAGGACTCCTGCTTGAGAGCTTCCTGGGAGCTGATGGCCTTTGCAGCGGGTCACTGCGGGCAGGAAGAGGCCATGGGTGATCTGCCTGCAGAGAGGCAGCCAGGGACGAGAGCTGCTGGGAGCAGATGGGCCCAGCGCTTCACCAGGTGCCAGAGCGCAAGGGGAGACTCATGCGGTCACGGCAGTGCCCTGACGTCACATGCAGCCCGGCTGCCTACCTCCCGTGTGGCCTAGGCCCACGACCACCCCTTGTGGGCCTCCATGCCCTGCTCGTAAGCTCAGTCGACTGTGTCACCACCTGTGACGCACAGAGCAGAGTCAGGGACCCAGTAAGTGCTGATGTGGGGACCACTGTGGCCACCAGCCCATCTGGGCACCGTCTGCGGCAGATCCAGGGATGGCCTCAGGCCTTCTGCCCGGCCTCTGAGGGCTGGGGACCAGTGGTGGGCCCGAGGGAATGGTGTCCTGCTACCCCGTCCTCCCTCCTCTCCCATGCCCGTCCTCACCAGTACCCAACGAAGGCTGGCACCGAGGGTCCCACAGTGGTCCAGCCACGGCCTCTGCTCCCTCTGAGCCGGTGGCTCCCTGGGGACAGTCTTGTCTGTTGCCACACTCCACTGTCTGGAACAAGCAGGCCTGGGTGGACGCTGCATGGCCTCGTCTGGGTGAGAGCAGGAGGGCAGGTGCGGCGTGCGGGGGACTGCCGGGCCTGTGGGGCTGGCGCAGTTGCGGGGAGGATTAGGTCTGGGCCTTGGCTGCGGGCGAGGGGACTACTGGGACAGTGTGGTGGCCTAGGAGGCCCGGCTGGTCAGGGCACAGGCAGCTTCTGTGATTGGGCCACGTGCTGCCCACTGTACACTCAGGGCCTCCTGTGCAGTCACCGGCTTGGTGGCGGGCGGGGCCTCAGCCAGGACAGGAACTTGGAGCTGCGGGGTTTTGTCAACCCTTTGGGTCTCTCAGCAGCAGCCCGGCTGGGGCACAGTGCTGGGTATCAGCCCTGTGTGCTGCAGGCAGGGTGCAGGGTGGACCCAGGGCAGCGGGGGGAGGCTGGGGGTGCCCTGGGTTTGCTTCCGCCCGGATGGAGGTTCTGGACACCCATGCAAGCCCAGCTGGGGCCGCCAAACCACCCTGCACGGATTCCTGGGTACGTGCTGCCCTCTAGTGCTCACAGCGGGGAGCGCCTCTGGAAGCGGGTGGCTGTGCCTTAGTGGCCAGGAGCCCAGCTCCAGGGACTGACTGGTGGCTCCCTGCTGTGCTTGGGGTGGGGAGGTGGATTTTGTTAAGTTTTCTCTAAGTTTTTGGATTTGTACGCACTTGGGTCCTACTTATTATTTCCAAATCCTAGAGGGATTCTGCCTCGCATTTGGAGACTAACCTGCCAAGGAGGACCCTTCCCCAGAGTCTGTGATCGAAGCCTCTTCCCGGTGGGGCTGAGCTAGCAGTTCCTACAGCTCCTACCAGTTCCTGCCAGCTTCTGCCAGTTCCTACCAATTCCCACCAGTTCCTACCAGCTCCCGCCAGCTCCTGCAGTCCCCGTGGATAGGACAGTGTGATCCCAACATTTCCAGGTGGTTGCCGGCGGTGAATCACTTGGCCAGGAGACTCGGCCTCAATCCCCTGTTCTGTTTGGCCTGCCGGCTGCTTTATGGTCCACGTGACTCTGGGCAGCTGTGATGGTGGGAAATGAGCTGTCCCGACCTGGCCTCCTGTTCTGGGTCAGGGTTCCTGCGGGGGCCTGAGTTCCACTGCCAGCAGCCAGTCCAGTCCCCTGTGACCCACAGGCCTGCCCCGAGGTGTGGGTTCCCCTGCCCTTGAGCATGTGACCCTCGCCCGTGGCCTCCCTTGCTTCTGAAAACCTGCAGGTGCCTCTGCCTGTCGTGCGATCTGGCTCAGAGCAGAGAGAGCGATCTGCAGTGGACGCCGGCACACCTGGGGCGTCCCTGATAAGAAAGCCGTTCTTGCGCGGCCCCGTTTAAAATTAGCGCACTTGCTCCCGGTATCATCTTGGCCTCAGAAACTAGGACGCCTCCGATTCTTGTGAGCTGCAGCCCTCGGGCCCTTTGTGCTCAGCAGAGAGATGGGGTGCTCCTGGTTTTCTCTCCTGCCCCTGCTCAGCTGCGAGGGCCTGGCTGCCTTTGTCCTCCTGGCAGCTGCGGTATTTTTAGAGGGACTCTGAGGGCCGGGCGTGGCGGCACCGCTGGCTTACCTCTCTCGTTTTCCTCCACAGGTGTGGTTCCTGCACAGCTGCAGCCATGGGGTCTGAGGACCACGGCGCCCAGAACCCCAGCTGCAAAATCATGACGTTTCGTCCAACCATGGAAGAATTTAAGGACTTCAACAAATACGTGGCCTACATAGAATCGCAGGGGGCCCACCGGGCGGGCCTGGCCAAGGTGGGTGACATCCTGGCCCCAGCATGGCCCTCCACAGCCTGCGCCTCGGGGCTGCAGACTTCCCGGGTCCCAGCCCAGCCAGCCCCACAGGCCAGGCCCATGCACATGGACTGTTTTGGGGCCACTCAGCTTGCAGACACGCACCTATTGATGGTGCTCTGACAGTATGCCAGGCACCGTTCTAGGCACTGGACCTGAGAAGTGACTGGTGCAGGCCCAGGCTCCAGGGAGCTGGCAGGGGGTGGTGAGGACACACAGCCACACTGCAGTGAAGTCCAGTGGGCAGCGGCCACCAGGGCGTTCCTGCTGGGAGCTGATGTGTCACTGAGGGATGGCAGGAATCTAGGAAGCCTTCCAGGGGTGCTTAGTGCCTGAGGAGTCCTTATTTTCCTAGTCAAACAGTTATTTTTTATTTGGGTGTGGTGTTGCATGCCTGTGGTCTCAGCTACGTGGGAGGCTGAGGCAGGAGGATTGCTTGAGCCCAGGAATTAGAGGCTGCAGGGAGCTAAGATCATGCTACTGCACTCCTGCCCGGGCAGCAGAGCAAGACCCTGTCTCAAAAACCAAATCAAACCAAATCAAAGACAATGTTTTTGAGACAGTAGTGGCTGGGTCAGGAAACTTTGCCCAGTGCAGCAGTGCAGGCCGAGAGCGACCAGTGTCTCCTCCATGTCCCGACCAGCCCCCACCTTCTCCCTGGATGTAGCACTGTCACCGGGTCTTCTGTCTCTCTCCCGGCATTTTGTGCATGTGTGTTTGTGTGTGTGAATACAGACAGAGACCCCCAAACCCCACGTGCTAAGTATCTACAGTACTGTGCTGCTCGGCTGGGCACGGTGGCTCAGGCCTGTAATCCCAGCATTTTGGGAGGCTGAGGCGGGAGGACCGCTTGAGGCCAGGAGTTTGAGACCAACGTGGGCAACACAGTAAGATCCCATCTCTACAAAAAATACAAAAAATGAGCCAGCTGTGGTGGTGGTGCATGCCTGTGGTCCCAGCTACTTGGGAGGCTGAGGTGGGAGGATCACTTGAGCCAGGGAGATAGAGGCTGCAGTGAGCTGAGATTGCGCCACCGCACTCCAGCCTGGAGGACAGAGCAAGATCCCGTCTCCAGAACAAAACGAACTGAAAAGTCTGTGCTGCTCTTCTGAACGCTTTGCGGTTCCCGAAGGTGGGCGCTTCCGTGAGTCTGTTCTGGTGTGAGCCTGTTCGGGCAGCGCTCACCTCTCGTCTGGAAGCTGAATCACCTTTGCATTTGGGTTCTTCCAGCTGCCTGCTGTGTGACGCTCACTGCTCTTCCTCAGCGAGGCCGGGGCTCGGCAGGTGCTCTCTACACACTGCCAGAGGCTGAGCGCCTGGGCTCCGCGAGCCAGCAGGGCAGCCAGACAGCGTGTAAGTGAAAGTGCGCAGCCCCGTGTCAATAAAACTTTATTCCTGAACCCTAGAGTGCAAACTCATACTGTTTTCACGTGTTCTCAAGTAGTAGTTTTTCTTTTCCCCCAACCACTTAAAAGTGAATAAAAAATAAAAGAAAAAAGCCTTCTTAAACACTTATACAGAAGCAAGAAGGGGCTGGATTTGGCCCGAGGGCCGCAGTGTGCTGACCCCAGGCTGCCTGCACTCCTGGCCCTCCCCGCCCTGCCCTCCTCCCCTGCGTCCCTGGCTCTGGTGGATTTTGTCATTAGCATCCGCCTCTCTCCTAGTGATCTTTCAGCACCAAACTTGCATTGTTAGGTCTTCGTCTCCCAGCCTCAGAGTGGGGAAGCCGTCTGACGCCGTCTTTTTCCGGCCAAGGTAGATGTGTTTTCTGTTTTGAGAGGAGGTCTGGCTCTGTTGCCCAGGCTGGGGCGCAGTGGTGTGATCATGGCTCGCTGCAGCCTCGACCTCCTGGGCTCAAGCGATCCTCTAGCCTCTGCTCCCGACTAGCTGGGACCACAGGTGTGCATCACCAAGCTTGCTGTTTGTTTGTGACACAGCATGACAATGTGGGAATGGCAGCACATCTGTGTCAGGGGCGGAACTGTGCTGGCTGCTGCCGGCCTGGCTTCAGTCCTCTCTTTAAAAGCCTTCGGTTCTCCTGTCTGATCTTAAACCATCCTCCCTGGCCCTCCAGGCTGCAGGCCGCCATCCCAGGAAGGGGCCAGGTCCTCCTCCTCTTCTCCCTGGCGCCTGTAGGGCGGGTGGGACGGACATGGCTTCCCTTCATCCGTTCGCCTCTGTCTCCTGCCCTTGACCTACTTCCGCGTTTCCCAGGGTGCAGCGGCTCTTTCTGGGTTTGGATCCACGGCGTCCTGATGTCAGGAAGTTGTGGGAAGTCAGCATCTCAGACTGCCCTGAACTCTTTCCTGGGGCACCTTTAAAGACCCACGCCATCACTTTTTTCTCATCCCTCACCGCCCACCAGGCTCTGTGGCCCTGGCTTCTGCAGCTCCCTCTGTCCTCCACATGGCAGCCTTGGGCACGGCCTCGGCTCCTGGCTGGACTGTTGTCTCCCACGCCAGCACCTCCGCTCCCCCCTCACTTGCTGACACCTTTGCTGCCACCTCTTTCAGCCCTGAAGTTGCTGCTTCAGGCTTCCTCGCCACCCCCGCCCCCAGGCCAGTTCCCCCTTGAGATTCTCAGTGCCAGGGTCTTAGGGAGGCCGATGTGGGGAGTGTGGTTTCCCTGCCTTGTGTTCTGCGTGTTCCTTCCCACGCCCCTCCAGTGGCCTCCCTCCAGTGGCCTCCTCCTAGTGCCGATTTTCCTGGGACACATGCGGAGGATCCTTTTTCAAACCCATGGAGGGGGCTGGGCAGTAGGGGCTGCCTGGGGCCCGTGCTGTGGAGAGATATGTATGTGTGTCTGTGTGCATGTGTGCGTGTGTGTTTATGTGCATGTGTGTGCATGTCTGTGCGTGTGTGTGTGTCTGTGCATGTGTGTGTGTGTGCACACGGGAGATGGAAAGGGGGGAGGCGGCTCTCACACAGCCCAGAGAGCTTGGCAGCTGCAGAGTCACGTTGGCACCCATGTGTAGCACGCGCACACCCCCTTGTGCAGCTCTGTGGGGACAGACGGGCTCAGGGAAGCATCTGGTTTGGCCCTGGCCAGCCCTGCATCTTCCAAATAGGGGGTCCTTGGCTGGAGCAGCCAGCCTCTTTAGAGCAGGAGCACAGGCCCTTGCGGGTTCAGAGCGAGCTGTGTGGGTGTCAGGGTCCCCCTCTCACCCTGCTCTCCCCGCCTTTACCACCCTTTGTGTATGTGTGTTCATGCCCGTCTGCCTGTGTGGGGTTGGGGCTGGAGGGTTTCCTGGTTCCTTCCAAACTGTTCTGGTTTCACATCCCACTTTCCGCAGCAGAGATCTGTAGACACATGGAGCTGGGTAGGGGCTGGAGCTCGCGGTGCCCCTGGCTGCTGGGAGCCCCCACCCCGCGTTGCTGGGGCCTCCACAGCCGGGTGTCCCCAGCCACTCGGGAGGCACTGGGGTGAGAGGAGCCCCAGGAGGCCCTGTCTGGGGTCCTGTTAGGAGGGGTGAGAGCTTCTGGTGCCCCCTTCCAGCTGCCTCCCAGGAGGGCACCAGCAGGGGAGGCCCTGGCCACCCTCAGTTGTACTGCTCGCTGGCATCTGCCTCTTACCGTTCTGTGGCCTGTCATCCTCCTGGCCCCGGCTGAAGCTGGCCCCCCAGGAGCCCTGCGTGAGGGACTTTTGGGGACCACCCCAGGCCTGGAAGGCCCACGTGTGGCAGTGGGATCACTGTGAGCGGCTCTCACTGCCTTCTCAACGTTTCCACCTGGAGCCCTCCTCCTGGATCCGCGTCTTGGCAGGAATGTGGGCTGTCGCTCCTGTCCTCTTAACGCCCTGCAGGATTTTCCCAGAGCCTTCGGGTTTGAGCCCAGCTGGAAGTGGCCCTTGTTCACGCCGCCTGTCAGCACCTGCCTGGGGCGTGGCACCTAGAGTGTGGCTCCGTGCGTGCAGCACAGACGCCGTGGGGGTATTTGGAGCCTCCCATGTGGCTCCCAGATGTCTTTACTACACAGTGCTTGCCGAGGAGGGGACGGATGAACAAAGTCGCCCAAGGCTGTCTTTCGAGCGGGGAAACCCGGAGCGAAGTGCTCTGTTCATTTCGCAGCTTAGGGTGATGGACGCGTTTCCTGTCATGGCAGTGAAGGGGCCAGTTCATGGTTTCCTCTCGGCCAGCAGCCTTGGCCTGGATGTGGAGCCGGGCTGGGTTGGTGGGTCTCCTGTAGAAGCAGACGGGGGCTTCCTGAGAGGGAGGCGGCCCGTGGAGCCTCTCGCCACCCAGCTCCGTTCTGGGCAGGAGCATCTCGTGCCTGGGACTCAGGCCCTTTTGTTTCTATTTCTTGCCTTTCCACTCCTGAACGTCTTGGCATCTCACTGATTCTTCAGCTGCCCCCTTGAAATCAAAGAGAAGGGCATCCTGGCCGCTGCTCCAGCACCCTGCCATCTCATGGCCTGTGCCAGCGACAGCAGCCCCAGGCACCTATTGCGCTGTGGCCACAGTGGACATGGAAGGGTGGGGAGTCTCCAGAAAGAGCCGGCGTGAGCCTGGACTGTCCTTTCCTTGGGACCTGACTCACCTTGGTTTGATTCTGGTTCCCCTCGCTTGGCACTGCACACCTGGGCCGGGTGGTTCTCTGGGGCGGGGCCATCCAGGCACTGCAGGGGCCAAGCAGCATCCCTGGCCTCCACCTACTTCCTACCAGGAGCACCCTCAGTCGTGACAGCCACAGGTGTCCCCAGACATAGCCAGGTGTCCCCCTGGGGGACAGGACCCCCCTCAGTTGAGAGCCACCTGCTTGCTGCGGCTGCGGCTGTTACTGTTTTTGCCAAAGAGGCCCGCGCATACCGGCCGCGGAGGCCGCACCTTCCCGTCGTTAACAAGCACCTGGAGGATAAGTGTTTTCATTGCCAAGCAAAACAGTCTCTTCGCTGATGTGATTGCTAGGTCCCTGGGGACAGTAAATGGATTTCAGCCATTCTGGAAGCTGCCAGCGACGTGGGCCTCAACGTGGAGCTCTTCCTTTGGGGGCCCTGAGTGCGGAGGGGCAGCTTTCCAGGTTTCTGGCAGATGAGCTGGAGCAGGGGGGTTAGTTCTTTCTCCCCATGCAGTTGGGTGGCCTGGGTGACCTTGGAAGAAGATGTGGGGCCTGCAGACCCCACCCTAGGACTGAGTGTGGCCGCCCAGAGCAGCTGGGAGTGCCTGCACAGAAGGGTGCCTGGTGCCTCGAAGGCCTCTGGTGCCCACTGGCTGACTGGAATCTGGGATTGTCGGCCCAGAGACTCACCCCCACCAGAGGAGGGAGACCAGGCTGGGGATGCGGCTGGGAGCCCAGGGCGAGATGTGTGCCCCCGATAGCCCTGGTCCCTCAGCTCCTGGATGGGGCACCTGACGGGTGCTGGTCCTTGTCCTCTGCTGTTTTCTCTGCATGTCTCAGTGTCCAAGGTGGCCCAGGGCTTCCCTGGGGTGCTGGAATTCCATGTGGCTGCTAGGCTAGAGGTCCTGGGCCAAGGTCTGCCTGCCCACCCCAGTGGTGCCCTGGGCTGTGTTGTGGATTGCTGTGTGCCTCAGTTTCTTCAGTGGTCAGATGGGAACTTCACTGTTCCTCCCGCCTAGGGGATGTGTGTTCTGAGCCCCAGCACACTGCACAGTGCCCAGCTCAGCACAGCTCCTGTCCTGCCCCACAGCCCCTGACCCTGCCTGTCCCATGTGGCGCCGTCACCCTCCCCACGCTTCCTGTTGGCCTGCTCCAGGCAGTGTGGGAGGCCTGTGGGGTCGGATATATTTCCCAGCATTTCCTAGTTCCTAGAAGTTGGGTTGCCCCATAGTGGTCTCGGCCAAGTGGAGCCACTAGAGTGAATCTTGGCTCCAGCCCCTGGTGTCCAGGTGCTTGTGGCCCCTGGTGGGCGCAGTTCTCATTTCCTGCTGCTAGAGGGCACGGTGGGCTGCAACGCTTGGGACCAAGTGGGAAGAGTCCCGTTTTAAAAATGCCTTGCCCAGCACATTGGGAGGCTGAGATGGGAGGATCACTTGAGGCCCGGAGTTTGAGACCAGCCTATGCAACAAAACGAGACTCCATCTCTACAGAGAATAAAAAATAATGAGCTGGGCGTGGTGGTGCAAGTCTGTGGTCCCAGCTACTTGGGAGGCTGAGGTGGGAGTTGGAGGCTGCAGTGAGCTGTGATTGTGCCAGTGCACTCCAGGCTGGGTGGCGTAGCAAGACCCTATCTCAGCAACAACAACCACACATGCCTCAAAATGTGAGTCTGTGAGCCTCCAGATCCAGAACACACACGTGCCCCGTCCCCCATGTTGCTGAGTCTAATCCTGCACACGCGTGTCAAGGTCGGCCCTGGTGCCGTGGGGGCTGTGCCCAGCTTCCAGTCCTGGGAGATGAGGCCCTTGTTGGCTACAGAGTCTCCCAGGGAGTTTGATAAGGCAACAGAGGGGGGTGTCCCGAGGTGCAGATCTGGGGGGTGCTGGTCCCGGGGAGCCGGCGTCGCAGTCAGCTCTCTGGCCTCGCCCTGAGGCTCCGAGGGTGCCACCGACTCGCGTCCTGGTCTTGCAGATCATCCCCCCGAAGGAGTGGAAGCCTCGGCAGACGTACGACGACATAGACGACGTGGTGATCCCCGCCCCCATCCAGCAGGTGGTGACGGGCCAGTCGGGCCTCTTCACACAGTACAACATCCAGAAGAAGGCCATGACGGTGGGCGAGTACCGCCGCCTGGCCAACAGCGAGAAGTACGCGGGGCAGGCGGGCGGCCGGACCCTGCTCCCCGAGCACACCTGCTGGTGGAGGCCCTGGGGGCAGAGAAGGCCATGACGGTGGGCGAGTACCGCCGCCTGGCCAACAGCGAGAAGTACGCGGGGCAGGCGGGCGGCCGGACCCCGGTCCCCGAGCACACCTGCTGGTGGAGGCCCTGGGGGCAGAGAAGGCGTGGCACACGAAGCCCCCACAGTACGGCTGGCCTGCTCCATGTGCCCAGCATGGGCGGCAGCAACCCCTGAACCAAGGGTGGATCTGGACCCTCTCCCAGCCTGGGCTGATCCACCCCGCCTCACCTCAGCTTCCCAGGGCTTCCCAACACACAACGGGCTGCACCCCAGTCCCCAGCCCCAGAGCACCTTCTCCCCACCCTCCTGTGATGCCTGGACGGCTGGGCCCTCCTCAGAAAGGGCTTCCTGGCTGGCACAGGCACACACGAGAGCACAGGCACACATGGCACAGACACAGGTACACACGAGGGCACAGGCACACATGGCACAGACAGGTACACACGAGGGCACAGGCACACATGGCACAGACACAGGTACACACGAGAGCACAGGCACACATGGCACAGACAGGTACACACGAGGGCACAGGCACACATGGCACAGACACAGGTACACACGAGGGCACAGGCACACATGGCACAGACACAGGTACACACGAGAGCACAGGCACACATGGCACAGACAGGTACACACGAGGGCACAGGCACACATGGCACAGACAGGTACACACGAGGGCACAGGCACACATGGCACAGACACAGGTACACACGAGGGCACAGGCACACATGGCACAGACAGGTACACACGAGGGCACAGGCACACATGGCACAGACAGGTACACACGAGAGCACAGGCACACATGGCACAGACAGGTACACGAGAGCACAGGCACACATGGCACAGACAGGTACACACGAGGGCACAGGCACACATGGCACAGACAGGTACACGAGAGCACAGGCACACATGGCACAGACACAGGTACACACGAGAGCACAGGCACACATGGCACAGACAGGTACACGAGAGCACAGGCACACATGGCACAGACAGGTACACACGAGGGCACAGGCACACATGGCACAGACAGGTACACGAGAGCACAGGCACACATGGCACAGACACAGGTACACACGAGAGCACAGGCACACATGGCACAGACACAGGTACACACGAGGGCACAGGCACACATGGCACAGACAGGTACACACGAGGGCACAGGCACACATGGCACAGACACAGGTACACACGAGGGCACAGGCACACATGGCACAGACACAGGTACACACGAGGGCACAGGCACACATGGCACAGACAGGTACACACGAGAGCACAGGCACACATGGCACAGACACAGGTACACACGAGGGCACAGGCACACATGGCACAGACACAGGTACACACGAGGGCACAGGCACACATGGCACAGACAGGTACACACGAGGGCACAGGCACAAGCACACATGAGGGTACGTGTGGACAAAGGTACACATGGGCACACGTGCATCCATACACAGGCACACATAGTACACATGGGCACATGTTTATACACAGGTGTACACAGTACACATGGGCACACGTGCATTCATACACAGGCACACACATGGGTATACGTGGGCATGTTTACTGGACACGGGCACACACAGGCTCATAAACATACCTGTCAGGGACACCCATGTGGGCACACCCATGGGCACATGCGTGGGTACACATGGCACCTTCGTGTACTGGCAGTGTTCCAAGTGTGGGTCCCTGGTTCCACAGGCACAGCCATGCACCCTCTGTGCTGTGCGGGCCCATCCCGTTGCTGTGCCCTCTTCCCTGTCTGTGGCCCCCACCCTGTTGCTCTCTGAGGTCCACATGCTTTGTGGCTCTGGCACCAGGGCGGGGCCTGGTCTGTCCTGGTTGCCTGACTTTCCCAGCCCCCAGTGTGTCATCTGAGCTCAGTCTTTGCCACAGAGGGATGACAAGAGTCACCTGGGGCCTCTGTCCTGTGCCCACTCCCCCTAGCTTGTGTTCTGATGTGGGTGCCTGGGGCCAGGATAGCTGAGGAGGCTGCGTGGGTTTGTACCACTTGCTCACCTGTGGAAATGCTGTCTCCCACACTCGAGCAGGTTACGTGGTACCCTGGGCGGGGGCAATGGGCAGTTTTAAGCAGAGCCTCTCCTGCCTCTGTCGGTGCCCTGGGTTCCTGGTGGCTGAGGGTGGGCTGTGTGGCACCCAGGCCCCACCCTGAGCTGGTTTTGGGGCGTTTGTTCGCCAGGTACTGTACCCCGCGACACCAGGACTTTGATGACCTTGAACGCAAATACTGGAAGAACCTCACCTTTGTCTCCCCGATCTACGGGGCCGACATCAGCGGCTCTTTATACGATGACGTGAGTACGAGGCCCTGGGGAAGAACAGGACCAGCTTCCTCGAGGTGGTGGCGGGGGGGCCCTGAACCGAGCTCTGCCTTAGCAGATGGAGCTTCCAGGCGGGCAAGGGTGACCGCCTGGCCCTGGCTCTGGCTGCAGTGAGGAAAGAGGAAGCCAGGCCTTTTCTGAGTTTTGCAGGGCCTCTCCAGTCACACCTGCAGCCCCCGTCCTGAGCGCACCCTGGCTCCGCCTCCGGCCTCAGCATCCAGCACAGGGCATGTTACACACGTGTTCTTTTCTAGTCCCTGTGCTCGTCTTCCTGGCACTGGAGAGCCGCGAGTCCTCAGCCAGCCAGGCCGCGTGCTGGATTCGGCTCCAGCCCAGTCCCTGCCTTGTGCTTAGGGCCCCAGAGACTGGGGTGAGGTGGCCCCGTTTCCCTTCTGGGGCCTGGCCTACTGGCCCTCCCCTTGTCCACACAGCCCAGGCCCTCCATGAGGGCAGCTGGCGGGCACCCCCAGAGGCCCGGACTCAAAGATAAGGCCCCCACGGCTCTGCTGGACGCTAGAGATGTGGCCTGCGTGGCGGACGTGTGTACAGCAGCGTCGGGAGGCTGACTTGTCCTGAGGCTGTGGCCAGCTTGCCCTGCCCCGTGTAGTTTAGCCTGGCTGCGCTGTGGCCTGCGCGGGACTCGGCTTGCTGTCTGAGCCGAGGATGCCGGTTTCTCACACAGAGGATTCTGTTCAGTAAGCCTCTCTTGGAGAAGCTGAGGACTCCGCTCAGTGGAGCCAGGCATAAGGCCCAGGCATCCGCCAGCTTTGCTCCCGGCCCCACCACCTCCTTCCTGGGCCTCAGTTTTCCAGTAATAGAATAGGACATGGGGTGTGCAGCTGTCCTCCCAGGATGGTGCCCACTTTCCCCCAACTCCACAGTGGACGGCAGGCTTGTGGAGGGCACACGGCCTGGCCTCCTCGGGGAGCATTCAGCCTCAGAGTGCACAGCTGCAGTCCTGGTGTGGCAGGCCGGTCCCATCTACACGTGTGGCCACCCCGCACCTGGTTCAGCTGGAGGGGAGCAGCTGTGTGCCGGGGGAGCGCAGGCAGGTGCAGCAGCCTCGGCCACGTCCTGTTCCCTCCTGTCCCAGGGCACACACGGTTCCCACAGGGGCTTGGCCACCCCAGGCCTTGCACTTCCCAGAGTCCTTGCTCGAAGGAGAGTGGATTTGGCACCAGAAGCCAGCAGAGGGTCCAGCGGTAGATTAACAGGGAGCTGCCTCCTGGAGCTGCCTCTGCTCTGGTGGGGCTTGCAACCCAGGCCCTGAGCAGTGGCTGGCTGTCCCTGCTTCCCTGCTTGCTTTGAAGCCCTCCGGCTGAGTCAGAGGGACCCAGCCTCCCAGGCCGCCCGTTTCCCACGTCAGACAGCTGAGGCTTGGAGCGGCCCTCTTGAGCAGCCCGAGTTCAGGACTGGGCCTCCCCATTCTATCCGGTTTCAGGCCCACTTTCCGCCCTTGTCCTTGGCGCCTTCTGGAAGCTGCTGAAGTAGCGGGAGGCCAGTGCTCCATCCAACCAGGATCACAGCCTTGCCCCCGATCTGTGGCCATGAGGGAGGTCTTCCCGGTGACTGACAGAAAACCCCTGGCTTTCTAGGAGCCTTGGAGCCCCTTTGATCCCTGCAGACATGACGAGCCATCTCACTGGCCACTGGGCAGGAGCAGGAATAGGCATTGGCATCGTGGGCAGGGGGCGGTCAGCGTCAGCAGCCTGCCTGCTTTAGGTGGGGACACCGAAGCCCAGAGCTGGGACGTGTGCCCATGGTCAGACGCTCTGTGCCCAGTCCAGAGCCAGGGCCGTCTGTGGGAGGGGCAGCCACTGTGCCCGCACACTGGTCACTTCCCGCCCTGGCCTCCACCGCAGCCCGGACGGCGCTCCTGGTGTGCGCAGGTCTGCATCAGGGACTCCTGGCAGCCCCAGCATCCCAGGTGTGGCTTTGCCACCCACGCTGTGACATGCCGCTGCCCGGGGGGCATTCACGCCCAGGGACCTGAGGGCCCAAGGCTGCGTGCTGGTGTGAGTGCAGTCAGCCCGCCTGGCTCGCGGCCGGTGTTGTCCACGTAGCGTTTGAGGGTGTTTGTGTTAGGCAGGACCTTTTGTTTACGGATCTGTGCCTGTTTTAAATGGCACCCTTCAGACGTCGTGCCTGTGCCCCTCAATTCACCCGTTTACAAAGTGTAGTTCCATGGGTGTCAGTACACCCTTCAGAGGCGCGCGGCAGTCACCACTGTCAGTTCTGGAACATTCCATAGCTGCGAAAGGAAACCCTGTCCCTGCTCTCCCTGTCACCCCCAGGCTGGCACCCACACATCCTCTTCCTGTCTCTGGATGGGCCTGTCCTGGACATTGCATAGAAACGGGATCACATGCTGCGTGGCCTTTCCTGTCTGCTTTCCCTCACCAAGTGTGACTCCCTCAAGGTTCATCCCCACTCTGGCCTGTGTCAGCGCCCCATTCCTCTTCATGGTTGGGTAGTACTCCACTGCAGGGATATACAGGTTGAATATCTCTTACCCGAAATACATGAGTCCCGGGTATTTCAAATGTTTTTTTTTTTTGGAATATTCCCACATACATACTGAGAGATCCTGAAGATGGGACCAAGTCTATAGTCGTTTGTTGCTGCATTGCTGTAAAGAAGTACTCAAGGCTGGGCGTGGTGGCTCACACCTGTGATCCCAGCACGGTGGGAGGCCGAGGCAGCTGGATCACCTGAGGACAGGAGTTTGAGACCAGCCTGCCCAACATGGCGAAACCCCATTTCTACTAAAAACACAAAAAATTAGCTGGGTGTGGTGGTGCATGCCTGTAGCCACTCGGGAGGCTGAGGCAGGAGAGTCACTTGAACCCTGGAGGCAGAGGTTGCAGTGAGCTGAGATGGCACCACTGCACTCTAGCCTGGTGACAAGAGCAAAACACCGTCTCAAAAAAGAAAAAGAGTCCAGGCGCGGTGGCTCACGCCTGTAATCCCAGCACTTTGGGAGGCCAAGACAGGTAGATGGTGAGGTCAGGAGATTAAGACGATCCTGGCTAACATGGTGAAACCCTGTCTCTACTAAAAATGCAAAGAATGAGCCGGGCGTGGTGGCGCACGCCTGTAATCTCAGCTACTCTGGAGGCTGAGGCCGGAGAATCGTTTGAACCCTGGAGGCGGAGGTTGCAGTGAGCCGAGATTGCTCCACTACCCTCCAGCCTGGATGACAGAGCAAGACTCCAGAAGAAAAGAAAAAAGATTACTAACACCACAGCTGGGCATGGCGGCTCACACCTGTAATCCCAGCGCTTTGGGAGGCCAAGGCGGGTGGATTACTTGAGGTCAGGAGTTTGAGACGAGTCTGGCCACTGCACTCCAGCCCGGGCGACAAAGCAAGACTCTGTCTCTGGAAAGAAGGAAAGGCAAAGAAAAGAAAGACCTATGGCTGGGTAGTGAGTAGCGAGGAGTTTTAATTGGTTCATGGTTCTGTCGGCTCTGCAGGAAACACGGCTGGGGAGGCCTCCGGAGTCGCGGCGGAAGGCGAAGGAGAGGCTGATTCAGTTGTCTCATACAGCAGGAGCAGGAGGAGAGAGTGGGGGCGGTGCCGGGTGGTTTCAAACAGCCAGGTCTCGCGAGAACTCGCTATTGTGAGAACAGCAGCAGGGGGATGGTGCTAACCCCTTCATGAGAAATCCGCCCCCATGATCCGGCCACCTCGCACCCGGCCCGACTGCAGCATTGGGACCTGCAGTTTGACATGAGATTTACTGGGTTGCGGGCCAAGCCGCATGAAAGTCTGCGTTTCATACATACTTTACACATGCAGGTTTTAGACTTTTGTGCGTGAAACGAAGTTTTGGCCGTGTCTTAACTGTGACGGGCCACATGAAGTCAGCTGCGGAGTGTTCACTTGTGGCGTCCTGCCCTTACTCAGGACGTTTTGGACCTTGGCGCATTGTGGATTTTGGATTTTGGGGGCAGAGGTGTCCACTGCACACTACGTTGTATTTGTCGGTTCGTGTGCTGATGGACATGTGCCTTGTGTTCTCTCTCTGCTTGTTATGAACAGTGTGGCCGTGAACATTTCTTGTGTGTTGGTGTGTTTTTGTTTTTGAGACGCAGTCTTGCTCTGTCCCCAGGCTGGAGTGCAGTGGCGCGATCTCGGCTCACTGCAACCTCCGCCTCCCGAGTTCAAGTGATTCTCCTGCCTCCGCCTCCCGAGTAGTTGGGATTACAGGCGCCCGCCACCACACCTGGCTAACTTCTATATTTTTATTAGAGAGAAGATTTCACCATGTTGATTAGGCCAGTCTCAAACTCCTGGGCTCAAGTAATCCTCCTGCCTTGGCCTCCCAAGGTGCTGGGATTACAGGCATGAGCCACCGCACCTGGCCATTTTTTTCTGCAGCTTTTGAACTGGGCTGTTGGTTGTCTTCTGGTTGAATTGTGAGAGTTTGCTGTGTGTTTCGGTTATCAGTTGTGTCTTGCAAGTTTTTCTTTTTGGTCTGGGGCTTGTCTTTCTGTTCCGGATCCCGCCTGACTGTTTTTGAGTGAAAGTCCAGCCTCAGAGCCCAGTGCAGGAGAGCCTCTGGGTTGCCTGACTCTGCAGCCACACACAGGCTGTGCGGGCCCAGGCCAACCCGCCACAGGCTCCAGAGGAAGCTTCGGGGCTTCCTTGGCACGTATTTGGCACACCTGACCAATGCACCAGCCTCATTTTACATCTGGGGAAACTGAGCCCAGAGCAGAGAAGCGACTTGATCTGGTCCCAGGATGAATTCTCACCCAGATCAGCCTGGGCCTGGGGCCTCCCTCCTCTGCTTGGGGTCTCCTCACTGCCTCCCTCTCCACCTCTCTCCGTGTCTCTCTGGGCTCCTGCCAGGGCTCACCTTGCAAAGGAACCACTGGTCCTGCCAAGTCCCAGGGTCAGTCCGGCTGGCACAGGAACAGCTGGTGTAGGGTGGATTCCAGCTTCGAGAGGAGCTCAGGTTCCCAAGCGTGTCTAGATTCCTCTCAGCCTCTCGGCAGGCCATGAGCCTCTCTGGAGACTGCAGTGACTAATGTGTATTTTATGAGCTCTTAGGACTGGACGGGGTTTGTTTGCTTGTGGCATTAAGAATAGATGTGCCTGGTGGGTGGGTGTTTGTCTTGTTTGCCCGGTTCTGAAAGCTTTCTTCGTCCCCTCGGTCTGAAGCTGTGGCAAGGCTGTCACTGAGCCTCAGCTCCAGTATCATTGCTGGGTTAGCCCCATGTGGTGACTGCTTTTCTCATTCCGTGTCATTGACTTAGAGGCACGTTAATTATGCACAAGCAAACTGCAGGTCTCGACGTGAGGCCCCACCCAGCAGGAAGCACGGGGCTCAGTGGGGTCTGGCAGGCCCTGCCCGCCTGCTGCACATTGGCATGTGTGCTGGGGCCTTTCCTGGAAGGGCCAGGCTGGCATTAAGCCCTTCAGAAAAGGTGTCTAGGCTGGGTATGGTGGCTCATGCTTGCAACCCCAGCACTTAAAGGGGCCAAGGTGGGAGGGATACTTGAGCCCAAGAGTTTGAGACCAGCCTGGGCAACAGAGTGAGACCTCATCTCTACAAAAAAGAAAAAACTAAAAAAACTAAATATTAGCCAGGCATGGTATTCTGCACCTGTAGTCCCAGGTACTCAGGAGACTGAGGTGGGAGGATCACCTGAGCCGGGGCAGTCAAGGCTGCAGCGAACACTGATCGTGCCACTGCATTCCCGCCTGGGTGAGAGTCTCACACAGAGAAAGCGAGCATGCAGAAGTCTGTAGGGTGTGACCAGCCCTGGGGGCCTCAGGCACTGGGGTGGGCCAAGGTGGGCAGCAACCCCCTGGGCCTTGCAGGCGCTGGGGGTGGCCGGGTGGTTGCCGATGCTGCTCTGCTGCCCTGCAGGACGTGGCCCAGTGGAACATCGGCAGCCTCCGCACCATCCTGGACATGGTGGAGCGCGAGTGCGGCACCATCATCGAGGGCGTGAACACGCCCTACCTGTACTTCGGTATGTGGAAGACCACCTTCGCCTGGCACACCGAGGACATGGACCTGTACAGCATCAACTACCTGCACTTCGGGGAGCCCAAGTCCTGGTGAGTGTCTGTGGCCTGCCAGCCCGGAGCCCCTCAGGACGGGGTGGATCTTGGGTAGGTGGCTGGGTGTGGTGGCAGAGTGAGGCCGGCAAAGGTCGGGGTGTGAGAGCTGGAGGTTTTCCGGACCGCCCGGGGTCACCCACTAGCTTTGTGGAGGGGGATGTGCATCCCCAGAGCCAAAGCTCCCAGCCTGCCAGTGCTTGTGCTCTGCACCCGAGTGCCTCCCATTGAGCTGTGAGTGGCCCCAGGTGTCCCCAAGGCCAGGAGCAAGGTCTAGAGCCCCCTGATTGCCAGGCTGTGCTGCCTCACGGCTGAGTGGTAACAATTCCTGGTGAAGGGTCACCGTCTGCACTGCCCAGAAGGGGCCTGGCCAGGATGACCCTGCAGCCGCTCCCTCGCAGCCTCTGCCCTGGCACGTCTGGGCCAGGCCCTGCAGGCAGGAGGGCTGGGCAGGGTACCGCAGCCACATGTGGAGCTCAGTGGACATGCCCTTTCCCAGGAGGTATCAGCGTAGCCACCGTGCTGCTGCGGTGGGCTGAGTTCCAGGATCGTCTCCTGGCTCCCTGTGCACGTCCGCAGCGAGGCTGTGCGGTGTGTGCGTGAGTGCGCGTGCATGTGACTGTGTGTGTGTGTGTGTGTGTGTGTGCGCGCGCGCACGCGCACGCTCCTATGTCGCTGGCTTCGCTGGTTACTGGAAACCCTACTGGGTATGTTGCAGGGCTTCCCTGCGCTGTCCTCCAAAGGCCACTAGGTGGCGCTCCCGCCCTTCCCGGGGCTGCGCTCGCTCCTGGACTCTTCCCAGGCCATCCTGGCTCCGGAGGAGGGCAGAGCTTCTGCCTGGAGGGCTCGGGAGCACCGCACTGCCTGGCCCTTCCCTGGGTTGGGGCTGTAAGCAGGGGAGAATGCTCTGCCTCTTCCTTTACCAAAGCACAAAGAGCAGGAAGGGGCAAGCCGTGTGTACCCTCACTGGCATCCCGAGTGCAGGTGGAGCCCGACGGGGAGGTCCTGTAGAGGACCTCCTGTGACTTGGGGTGAAGGGAGACCTCCCAGGGGCGCGTGAGTGGTGGAGTGCCCAAGGCGTGGCCAGGTTTGTGCCTCTGGAGGGACTGTCTGCCCTGCGCAGAGTCTGTGCCAGGCAGCAGGTGGCAAGCAGCCAGTGAGGCCCGTTGGCAGCCACAGAGAGAAGCAGGGGGTCAGGGATGTTGGATGTGGGGGACCGGCCAAAGAGTCAGACATGAGGACATCAGCACCAGAGCAGCACCAGTGGCTCCATCTCCTGTGAGGGGCCCTGGTAGTTGCTGGTGGTCGCCAGAGCCTGGGCTGGGGTAGGCCCTGTGGCTGGGGCTGTAGTAGGTCAGATGCCAGGGGTCCCTGCTGACTGGTCGGGTGGGTCTCCGCAGGAGGAGGGGACAGTGGCTCCCTGCAGGTTGCAGGGACCTGGCCACAGGCTGTCAGAGGGACTAACAGGGATGCACCAGGAGCCAAGGGCCCCTCCTGAGCTGGTTAGTTCAGGATGAAGCCACTGAGGGCATTCCTCACCCCTTCCCGACTGCCCCTTACTACCCCCCACCCCCCACCTTGCCTGGTGCCTCAGGTGTCCAGCTGTCACCTCCTGTTCACGCTTCCCTATGACCCGATGTGGGAGATCGCTCAGGGGAGACAGCCGGCGGCAAGGGCAGCGTTGATTATGCAGCAGTTCTGGGAAGGGAAATTCTGGAAGCACCGTGACCTTGGTCTTGATTTCTGCCTGGGAAGGGGTGAGGCCCCATGCTGTCCAAGTGTGGCCTGGCAGAAGGGGCCTGAGAGGTGCCACAATGTGGGCTTGATCTGCAGGGCCTTTCTCCAACGCCCCCAGAGCTCCCTCCTTGCCCCACAGTCAGCTCAGCCCACTTAGCACGTGGCGCCCCTTCCCTGCTCTCTCCCCAGGGCTGAGGCAGGGCCCAGGTGTTCCCACAGCACCCAAGCCTGTCCTTAGGGCAGACATAGACCCGGGGATCCCAGCCTTAGCCAAGGTCTACTGCGTGCCATCGGCCCTCTCCAGCAGATGGTGGTGGCCCTGGTCACCCCGTGTCCCAACTCCTAATCGGGGCCTGGCACAGAGTGGCTCTCAGATCCTCACTGTGTGTTGTGGAAGCTGACTCCCCCTCCCGGCTGCCCTTCCAACTTGGAGTGGGTGGGGAGGAGGTACCTGGGAAAGGTGCCTGACCTCTGGTCCCTGGGCTGGGGTTCAGGAAGCTAATTAGGCCTTCGGGAGGCACTTTCCTCCCCTCCTCAGGCCCTGGGGGTAGGTGGGCCTCCCAGACAGATCACCGAGGCCACGCCCCATCTGGCTGGCTGTCTCCCTGATTACACCGCTTTGCTTGCCTCTGCAGCTGCTGAATTGCAACCATTTCAGAGTATTCCAGTGTCATTTTAAAAGAAGTGTCGACGTACTCAGGTTTAGAGCATTTGATTAAACCTTTCTGGGTCTGTTGCTACTTTGGTAGCTTGATTTGTGTCAAAGTGACGTGAACAGCCTGGTGTCGGTAACAGACAGAAATGTGCTTCAAAGGGCCGGCGTTCTGTGCTGCTCACAGGCAGTGGGGCTGAGGATATCTGGAGTGACAGAACGCCTCAAAATCTCTATGAAGCCAGACCCAGCCCCTGCATCTCCCCCGCTGGGCTGCCTGTGGAGAGGGTCCGAGCTTTCCAACCGATCCTGCGTCTTCCTGGGGTTGGAGGTGGCCTGGGGTTGGTGTCCCGAAGGCCATGCCCCGTAGAACCCACTGTCTCGGGCTGCACTCCTTGCCCTGGATCAAGACTCTCCTGGGGCCGGGCACAGTGCCTCACGCCTGTAATCCCAGCACTTTGGGAGGTCGAGGCGGGCGGATTGCCTGAGCTCAGGAGTTCGAGACCAGCCTGGCCAATGTGGTGAAACCCTGTCTCTACTTAAAAAAAAAAAATAGCGGGGTATGGTGGTGGGCGCCTGTAATCTCAGCTACTTGGGAGGCTGAGCTAGGAGAATGGCTTGAACCTGGGAGGCAGAGCTTGCAGTGAGCTGAGATGGAGCCACTGCACTCCAGCCTGGGCAACAGAGTAAGACTCCATCTCAAAAAAAAGAAAGACTTTTCTGGAACCTGGTCCCAGGGTGGGGTGATTCAGCTGAGCTGACCCTCCACGGCCGACCCCGCGCTGCTCCCTGCAGGCCTCCCCTTCCCCACCTGCACTGTGGCAGCCCCTTCCTGCAGTGCTCACCCTCCTGCGCTGCCTGGGCCAGGCACCAAACACACATCCCCTTGAGGCTGGGCACCGCGCTGCCAGTGGTGTCACACGCCACACGGCCCCTTGAAGAGAGTTGCAGGCTAGGGTAGGAGAACATCGGGCCTCTGCCAGCCCTAGGGGAGTTGCTGGCCCCAGGGCACTTCTGGGCCATTCGGATTGTGCTGTGTACCCCAAAGAGGAGAGTGGAGCAACTGTCACCCCTCGAGGGCCCCAGCCCACAGTGCCCACTGTGCAGTCCTGTGCAGCCATGGGCTGGGCTGGGGCTTGGCCGAGGCTTCAGGTGCCCTGTTGCCCCAACCCGTCAGAGACCCTGCAGGCGGTGGCTGGGGGCTGCAGGGGCTGTGGGCCACTGCCAGAAGCAGGATCTCTGGCTCTCACTGCAGCAGGGAAGCCAGATGGGGAAGCAGTGAGTCCCGCGGCTGTAGGGACTCCCGGGGATGTCGTGAGCTGATGGGGTGTGACCAGCTGCCTGCACCCGTGTTCTAGGGCGGCTAGAGAAAGGCCCTTTTGAGGAATGCTGCGGGGGGGCCAGTGATGGTACCTGGCAGCCGCAGAGGTCTCTGCTTAGGCCTAGGGGAGAGGGTCCTCAGGTTCCCTCCAGCTCCGCTTGTCAGGAGGGGTGTCGTCCTGCGCCCAGGTAAAGCCTCCAAGAGCAGTGGGGTGGAGAATTGCTTGTTTTGACTGTAACCTTGACCTGCCTGTGACCCGCAGTGGTCTGACAATCCTCCATTGCGCTGGGCAGGATGCAGTTCCCCCAGGGTCTCATCTCTGGCTGTTTCCTCTGGCATCTCTCTGCTCGCGCCCTCCTGCCTTCATTTACCTTGGACATGCTCAGTCCCCCATGCAGGTGCAGGAGCTGAGGGTCTCAGAGCTTGTGCTCCTGAGAAGGGCACGGAGCTCCCACTTGCTCATGGCCATCCTGGCCTGCCAGGAGCCTGACCCTCCTGAGCGCGGTGGAGAGGGGATTATCAGAAAACTCCTCCAGCCTCCTTGACCTTTAAGGAGCCACAGGCTGAGAATTTTCCCTTTTGATTCAGCTGTACCTCGAGTTTTCTCTCTGGCGTTTTCACTCAGGGGAATTTCACAGCATCTTTTCTTCTTGCTGCCAGGGAAACTGGACTCCTAGCGGGCACAGCCGTCTTTCACTTCTTCAGTGTCCCTGGAGGTGTGCGTGCGCATGTGCGCTTGTGTGCACTGAGGAGCCTTGCTCCCGGGGCTGGGAGTGGGGTGCGTACCAGGCTGCAGTGGGCCAGCCCGGGCTCCTTGCCCTGTGGCCGTGGGTTCGGGGAGGCAGAGCGTAGGGTCGATGGGTCTGTTGCCAAGCCAGGCTCTTCTTGGGGTGGAGGCTTCAGGGCTGCTCCCTTGCCCTTCTGCCGCCCACCTGACTTTGCCTCAGGACCTCCTTGAAGCCCACACCAAGGCAGCGGTCCTCCTGCCTTACAGCTGCATCTCCTGCTGGCAGCTCCTGCCTGGGGGCAGACGTCTCCCTCCCTTACGGGCTCCCTCAGCCTGGCTGCAGGTGGCGATGCTGACCCCACAGCCACCTCTGCCCTGACCTCTGGTGTGGGACCCGGGAATCTGGTGGGTGATGGAGCCGGCGAGCCCATCACAGGCAGTAGCCATGGGCCTTTGGGGTAGCACACTGGTGCCTGGGGACCCCTGTGGGTCTGTGCTGCTGCTGGTGAGCTAGCCACTGGGCCTTCCAGCTTCTGAGCCCAGCACCTGGTGGTCCCACCAGC